TATTTTATTTTATTTTATTTTATTTTATTTTTTGAGAGAGAGAGTTAAGATTTTTGTTTATCAAGACCACAAATAATGAATCTGTGTACTGAGGGAAAAGATCTATTCTGTATGTTGAGATTACATAATTTTTATACTTTTAACCCCTGTCTTCAATCTTTAAATTTAGAAGCGATTGTTGGAAGCCATGGAAACGTGTAATCACTCCCTCAAAAAGGAAGAGAGGAAAAGAAACCAACATAGTGAGTGCCTAATGTGCTGGTATGATAGAGACACAGAGTTCACCTACCCCTCACCATGGCCAGAAAAGTTCCCTGCCATAGAACGTTGTTGCACAAGGTAATGTTATTTGGTAATTTTTCAACAACAGCAATAAGCAGCTCCCCCTGGGGCCTGGGGGAAGCTTTTGAATATCTATTTGGAGAATTAACAAATAATTTATGATAGCTATAGTCAGTTGATAATGAATTACACCCAACTTGCAAAAGATCATACCATCTCCCTCTCAGAATTGTTTCTGTGGTTCTCTGCTTTGGTCAGATTCTGCTTCTCCCTTTCTGTCTTCTGTTAAACTTGAGGTTTTTTAGTTTTTTTGGTTTTAATTTTTCCTCTCTAGAATTTATCTGTACTCCTACCTCAACAGGAGATACAAATTTTTGTTTCCACTGTCAGTGTCTACTTTGATATGTTATGACTTTGCCTCTTATATTCCCAACCACCCAACTGGAAAGAAGAAAAAAATAATAAAAGTGTTTCTATATTTTCTTGCCTGAAACTCATTTCTTCTTTTTCTTCCTCATTAAAATGTCTTTGTTGTTTTTTTTTTCTTTTCTCTCATTTTCCCTGCAAATCATTTACCCAGATGGCAGCTAAAGTGAATATCTCCCAGTTATGCTTTTCCCTTTTTTTTGGAACATAACCTCAAGATTTTATTGTCTTCATATGTAACATAATATGAAGCTTAGAACTGGATCATTTTGGCCCTTTCTCTTCTTATCTCCTCCCAGTTCAAAATGCTTGCATCTCTTAGGGGCGGCTGGGTGGCTTAGTCAGTTAAGCGTCTGACTCTTGACTTCAGCCCAGGTCATTATCTCAAGGTTCATGGTTTTGAGCCCCATGTCAGGCTCTTCACTGACAGCATGGAACCTGCTTAAGATTCTCTCTCAGTTTTTCTCTTACCCTCCCCTAGTGGCACACATGTGTTCTCTCTCCCCCACCCCCACCCGTGCCCCCCTCACTTAAAATAAATAAATAAACTTTTAAAAAAATGCTCACATCTCTTAATATTCAGCATTCTCTTAGATCTGCAGTTGGGCTCAACACATTCAGGCCTCAGCACAATCTTTGTAGTTTTAACCTTTTCCTGGAAAATTGGCTTAGTTTG